GAGGTATTTGAAGAAACATACATAAATTATAAATCAACATTAAGAGAAGCTCTTCAGCCTTTTTTAGAAGAATCAAAATTTGAACCTGCTTTATCTCAATCCTCCTCATCAATTACCGACGTGCAAGATTCCAAGAATCGAAGAATAAGGTTGCCTAATATACAGATACCCACATTCACGGGAAATTACGAGGAGTGGCAACCATTCTACGACCTGTTCCGTACTCTTATTCACGACAATGAACATCTATCACGTGTACAGAAGCTACATTACCTAAAGATCAATTTATCGGGAGAACCTGAGACACTATTACGCAACTTTTCTATAACGGATACAAATTATGATGACGCCTGGAACCAATTAATAATACGTTACAATAATACGAGGTTCAACAGCAACGCAATTATGAAGATTTTATTTACGCAAAAACCTGTGCAGACGGAGTCGGCTAGTTTAATAAAACAACTAGTAGATACAACTTCGACTTGTTTGAAGGCGTTGAACAACATGGGTGTTCATACTGATACCTGGGATATGGTAACTACCTATTTAGTTGTATCGAAGCTAGATTCTGAAACTATAAAACTGTGGGAACAACAAATTATCACAAATTGTAATACCGACATACCCACTTGGCCGGAATTAAGAGATTTTTTAGAAGCAAGGTTCAGAGCTTTGGAAATGATAGATAGTACCAAAGGAAAAACGGTGCAACCTAAACTGGTAGCTAAACCTAAGGTTTTCCATTCAAATGTTACCAGCAGCGACGGAAAAAAGCCCGAAACAAAATGTGCTTTGTGTGGTGGTGAACACTACATCTATTCCTGCAAGAAGTTTGGAGATAAGTCTCCGTCTGAAAGACAAGACTTTGTACAGACGAACAAGTTATGCTTCAATTGCTTAGCGCCTACACACTCCGTGAAGAAATGTCGTCAGTCATCGTGTTGTAAAAGGTGTGGACGGCGGCACCACACACTTCTGCACTTCGAGAGAGGACAGCAGAACGAGAAGCCGAAGGAAGGTGAAACTTCAACTACAGGTATAGCGATCAACAAATCTACAGGTACGCCTATTTCTGTTTCTAATGATGAGCATATTGTAACTAATTTTTCTAGTGAACATATACAATCAAACAGTGTCCTATTAGCTACTGCTAATGTGTTAGTAGAAAGTAGGAATGGTTGCAAATACGTTATGAGAGGTTTGTTAGACCAAGGGTCACAAGCTTCGTTTGTTACAGAGGCAACCGTACAATTGTTGAATCTTAATCGTAAATCAGTGAGTGGTTGGGTGTCAGGTGTGGGAGAGAGGCAATCGAGAATCAAACACAGGGTTACATTTT